CGCTCCTGGATAGTGAGCACTTGACTTGAGTGACTTCATCGTAGTAATTATTATGGAACAATAATGGTTATCTGGATGGTATGGGATATGCTAAATCTAAATTGGTAATTGGATGTTATTGGTTAATCAAGTGATTGCTATAGTACAGATGCTTACCTAAATGGATAGGTTATAAAAAAAGATGATGCAAAGTATTTAAAATGGTTTATTCATGATAACTTATGCTTTTCGCAAATGAGTCAGTTAGCCCACTAAAGAAAGCCTTGCATAATCCTTGGTGACGCTTTATTTTTGGTTTATGACGGGTAAGTCTAGCTGAGTACATTCGAGTACTCAGGGTTTATCCCACCTTGTTGCAGGTGAAGTTCTCGACCTGTTGATGATGGTGGCTAACCGTCGGTGGGCTCGGTGATTCTATATTTACTTCTTATCTATATGCTTTTGTCAGAGGATGTCACTTATGCTAGCAATGTATTTTGAATTTATATTAATGTAATCATTTGAAAGCTATGTTGTTTTCTCTAATCGGTTTTAAAACCCAAACTTATACTATTATTTGTGAAACCATTTGTAATATTATTTCCGCTACAACTCTACGTATGTGATGTGTATTTGCTTAATCACGTGATCTTGGTTGTGATGTTGATTTACCGAGGTCCTTCGTAACACTCGGCGGACTACCGGGTTTGTATAAGTGAAAGTATGCGCGTGTCAACGTGTTAGCGGGGACAGCCATACTTGATCTTATATAAATTGGGCGATTCGGTCACAGTATATTTGTAGGAGGCAGTACCCTCATAATCTTTGTGATTTTGCATTTCATAAAAAAATTCTGGTTTTTTATTTTGTTTTTTATTTTTTGTATTTTTTTTGTTTTTTTGTACGTTTGTCAGAGGCAATTCCCTCGTAATCTTTGTGATTTTGCATTTCACAGAAAATTTCTGGTTTTTTATTTTGTTTTTTATGTTTTGTATTTTTTATGGTCTTTGGTATGTTTGTTAGAGGCAGTTCCCTCACAATCTTTGTGATTTTGCATTTCATAGCGAATTTCTGGTTTTTTATTTTGTTTTTTGTTTAATTATATTTTTTTTGTTTCCATTTTTTGGTTGTGTTTGTGCGTGAAGGTGGATGGTGGTCTTTGGTAATCCGAGTGAAATTCACGGTTGTTTCACTCGAATTTTTTTATTTGGTTATTTGTGTGTTTTATGCTGTATGATTACTCGTGTGAGCATTAGGCTTCAATCACACAAATTTTATTTCTTGTCTCATTTGTGTGGTTTGTCCTCTTAAATTGCTTGAGTGTTCAAATGGGTCAAATCACCCAAGTTCTAAATAGACAGATCCTTAATAAAACAATGCCAAAGCTTTTGCCGTTCTTTTAAAAAGCCAGACAAACCCTGTAAAGGATGGGGAGCTTTCCCGTACTCAGGCTTCTCAACGTAGAGGCAGTAGTAGTAGAATTCGGTCCCAGCTGGGCGGCCGGTGGTGAGTCCGGGATGAGATAAACGGCCACCGCCCCAGTGGTCCACTGCAAGCTAGGCCACCGCCCGCCGTTCGCAGGCATGCTCCCCTCCGTGCTCCCATCTCTGTCTGTTGCCGTATTGAGACGACTCTTATCTTATCTGACCTGACCACGCATTTCCCTCCATCGCTTTACAGATCGAGCTGCACCCCAGTGTGTGTATGTGCGTGCCAAGCAAAAGGTCGTCGCGAGTTGCATGCCTGCGGCCGTGGACCAACTGCAATCATGGGGAGGGGAGCATGGCGATCGTCGCGGTTGCGAGTTGTTGCAGCGCACGGCACCGTGTGATAACGCCTTTGTCCGGTCCGGTTCACACAAGGGCCAACGAAGGAAGAAGCTAGAACTGGTTTCCCAATCGGCAGCCTCGATCTATTACGCATATCGTTTCTGCTCATTCCTTTTGTTGATGGAGCTAGGGAAGTACTAGATCTGAAAAGCGCCTGTTGTGGAGCGTGGCCGACATCGGCACACCTCGATGCTGCCTTGCCCCGCTGTTGGATCATTTTTTTCTTTGATTCTTTGCAGTTTGCACGACAGTCTGCCAGGTCTGCTCTCGTTTTTTCACAAGGTAATGTGACTGGGATGTATGGAGATGATGATTCTTCAGGCATGGGAGGATGAGGTAGGTAATGCTGCATGGGTCCTCTCTGTCTGAATGAGAGCTACTAGTCGTCTTTGTTGGCAAAAGTAGGGAGTTCATATTTCACACCCACAGCGACCCAACTAGAGCTGATGTTGCTGATTGATGTCAGGTTTGTCCATCGAATCTCGATTTTCGAATTGATGCTAACTGCTAACCAATGGATTTGTATCTGAACTTTTAGAACTCCACTATAGTGTTTGTGGGAATAATCAACGCATAGAGAGGTCTAGCAAGCTATATATGAGAACATATGCATACAAACTTTTGATCCAATAGAAAATTATGTACAACAGATTAATGATAAAAAAAAAGTAGGTGAGCTGATGATCGACCTTTGTTTGCGAATCACTATTAGTTTTTTTTTTTATAAAAGGCAAATCAGTATTAGTTTGGATAACCAACCAATCAGTGGCACACTGCATGGCGCCCCCATACAACTTGCAACAAGTTTGATGCCACTTCCCAATATTATAAAACGTTTCTGGTATAGGCATAACTGGAGTTGACGGGAAAAATGCACAAATATATTGGAAGGCGCCACCACCCGCCTCTAACATTTTTATATTCAGGCATTGTTTAGATCACCTCCAAATTCCAAGTTTTTTCACTCTCTCTCCATCACATTAATTTTTAGCCGTTTGTATGGAGCATTAAATGTAGGTAAAAAAAATAACTAATTGCACAGTTTAGTTGAAAATCACGAGATGAATCTTTTGAGCTTAGTTGGTCCACGATTGGACAATATTTACCAAATAAGACGAAAGTGCTACTATTTATCGGGTTGAAATTTTTTGCAATCTAAACATGGTCTCATTGTTCTTTATATGCGTATATTTGGAACTCAAGAATCTGTATATGTTTTAGGGGTGTTTAGTTTTTTAGTCGCTCCTAAAATTCATGTCACATCGAATGTTTAGATACTAATAAAGAGCATTAAATATATATTCATTACAAAACCAATTACATAGATGGAGGTTAATTTGTGAGACATTTTTTTAAACCTAATTAATATGTCATTAGCACATGCTACTGTAGCACCATGTTATCAAATCATGGACTAATCAGGCTTAAAAGATTCGTCTCACAAATTAGTCGCAAGTTATGTAATTAGTTTCGTAATTAATTTATATTTAATACTCTATGCATGTGTCTAAACTTTCGATGCGACCGAAATTAGAAATGCAAAGTTGGTTGAAGTTTCCAGAGAGACCAATCATTGACTTACCCAAACGAAAATTTGCAAACTTCTGTACCTTGAACGCTTGCCCGGGGAAGTACACAGGAGCAAACTTGCCATTAATTGCCCTCATTAGGTATAGTGTATAGTGTATGTATGTCATCTAACAAGCTAAGAATAATTTATAGAACCCAAGATTACACAAAGTCTGAGGTGTCAGCCCGCAGGCAACACTTCCAAACTTGGTGGCCTTTAGGAACTATTTCGGAGACCTACGACGAAAAAAGAGCGATGGCCCGACCACCACCCCAACCCTAGCTGGCGGCGCCGCCACCCTCACCGCCACACCCGGCGCCGGTGGCCTTCCCGGCGCCGCCGCCGGCGCCTGCCTCCCCCTCTCCCTCTCATCCCCCACCGCCGGGAGCCACCATTTCCATGCCATGCTCCCCATCCTCGACAGCGCCGGCGCCGGCGCGGGCCGTCCCGGCCACGGTGGCCGAGCCCACGAAAGCCGTCTCCACCCCTCCTCCCCCTGCCCCCGCCTCGCCCACTCCCCCTCCTCCGCAGCTGGGGCCTAGCATCGCTGCCACCACCATCGCGGCCTCCCAGCTCGCGGAAGCCGGTGATGGGGCGCTACCGCCGCCGCAGACCGAGGAGGCGGCCAATTCCCATGCAGATGGGCCCCGGGCGGCCAGATCCATGGCCGGCAGCGATGGAGAGGCCGCTGCGCGGCAGTAGCCACTGCCGCCGCCACGGCCCATGACGTCGCCGGAGGAGGTGCCGGCGGAAGTCGGTCCCGAGCAGCTGGCTGCCATGGGCGACCCCGGTCCGAGCTCGTCGCCGCCGCCGTCGCTTGAGCGTGCACGCATGGTCGCCATCGTTAGCGCTAGATCGCGCCACCGCCACCACATCACCACTCGCGGCCGGGATGCGGCAGAGACGACCCAAGACACCGGTGGCGGCGGGCCCTCTTGCTGCGCTCGCCCAGCCGATGGGCGCAGGGCCCTGTGCCACGGGGGCCGGGGCAGCGGCGCTCTGCCTGGAGGCGGCCTCTGGGCATGGCTCCGCGGCAGCGTCGTCGTCTTCCGCTGCCTCCGACCTCGACGCCTTCCTCGTTCACCCGTCTGCCCCCGCCTTGAGCCCATCGTCCACCCTATCCCCCCAAGCTGCCCCCTTCTTTAATTAAACTTAAGGAAGTTAGATTACTAAAGGAAGTTTGACTTGATATAACCGAAAATTTGGATGGAGGTAAGAAGAACGTACTACGTATTAGAGGGAGCAATAAGCCAATACTAGTCAATACATGAGTCTAGGCGGATAAGTATACGGCTGCTATACAGGATATATACGGCTACCGACCTACCGTACTATACGTTATTTAAAGCCAGTAGTGTATATAAGAAAAGAAGGCGATAATAACAGGTAGGCATAATAAAGGAAAAACTCAACAGAAAATAAGCAACGCAAAAGGACCTAGTTGCAAGTCGCAACCCCTGCGCAGCTGCGCTGAAGTTTTTCAACTCCTTTCACACGCCCAGCTCCCAGCACCAGCTCACATCTCTCCTCCTTCCTCTCCAATCCCCGGATCGAGCAACACAAGCAACCACCAGCCGGGCAACGACCGCCGTATCGCTCCATGCATAAGGTCTCCGCCCGCCATGCCGCACCGCCGCCGAGCTCTTAACCCGACGCTGCCCCCGCCACCTCCCGCCGCCACCGCGTTCGGCCACCTCGGCGCGGACGAGGCGCGGCTGCCGCTCCTCGCGGACTACGCGCTGCTCCACCAGCCCTCCGCCGCCTCCGTCTCCGTCGTCGACGCGCCCGCCGTGGCCCCGGCGTCGTCCGAGTGGAGCGCCGGGAGCGCCTTCACCGCCACCTCCGACGCAGCCACCACCACCGCCTCCTCCACCGCCACGGCGCCGGGCTCCTCCTCGCAGCTGCTGACCGCCGCCGAAGCCGCCGGAGGGAGGGAGAGGGACACGTGGGTCCGCCGCGCCAGGGAGGGGTACTACCTCCAGCTCTCCCTCGCCATTCGCCTCACCTCGCAGGCCTTCCTCGCCGGCGCCCCGCCCGCGCCCGAGCTCCTCTTCGGCTGCGGCTCCGGAGTCGTCGCCGACCACCACGCTGATGGCAACGGCGCGGATGATCCAGAGGCCATCTCCTACCGGCTCTGGGTACGTGCATACATACATACACACGAATGCATATATGGGTCGCACGGACATGGTAGAACACACGAGCATATGCATATGATCTATGGTGCAATGCTTGTAGAGAGACAAAGCACAAACTCCTGTACACGTTTTTCAACTCTTCTTGCCTCTGTGAGACTATGACACAACAAAATTTCAAATTTGTTTGGTTTCTATTGTGACTGAATCATTTCTGGGTACTGGGTTGCATTAGTTTCTTGCTTGCTCCTTAATTTGCTGGAAAAAAAGGTTGGGAAAGAGAAAATTCTGTGTTTAATGAAAGTTGGTGATGTTGTTCGTTCCTTTCATACTATTATAAGTGGTTTAGGAGTGGTGGTGATCACTTAGTAGCCATATCTCCATGCTGGTCAATGATGTCGTCGCTTAAAAGCTGATATAATATTCATGCGCATAATCAAATAACAAGCACATTACTGATTGCAAATGATGCCGAGACTCTTCTCCGCTGAACAGTTCATATATTTTTTATGCGCTCTAATTTATTATTGCAAGTTGACGCAGCCTTCGGCTTATTAGTCCTAGTGAACAGTGATCAACAGTGACGATCTAGCGCGTGCAACTGTGCTTATTTATTGATTGCTACTAGTAGCAAGCATTGTAATTAAGGAGCTAGTAAGACCTGAGGGAGCTAGGAAGCTGACAGCTAGCAATGGCGATGTGCATGTGTTCTGCGGTGCGCAGGTGAACGGGTGCTTGTCGTGGGGCGACAAGATCGCGCACGGGTTCTACAACATCGTGGGCATCGACCCGCACCTGTGGGCCATGTGCAACGTCGCGGAGGAGGGCCGCCGGCTGCCGTCGCTGGCGGCGCTGCGGGCGGTGGACGCCACTGAGTCCTCGCTGGATGTGGTGCTCGTCGACAAGGGCGCCGACTCGGTGCTCCTCGACCTCGAGCGCCGCGCCCTCGACCTCGTCCGCGCGCTCGGCGTCACTCTCGACCTCGCCCGCAGCCTCGCCGTCCTCGTCTCCGACCACATGGGGTGAGCACAACTGACCGCGCTGCCTGCCTGCATGGGCGTGTCGCCCGTGTCCGTGTCCCTGCCTTTACTTCGCTTCAGAAAAGTTAGCTGTGCTGGTAAATATCAGCGCCGCCGTACATGCCACGCTCGTGCGCATGCACCCGTCCATGTGCTAGATCAATCGCGGTCCATGTGCTAGATCAATCGCTAGGCTGTAGCACAAGCGACTTATAGGTGTGGTTTAGTTCTAAAAATTTTCACCCAAGCTATTACATCAAAACCGACTTATATGGAGTTTAAACAAGAGAAAAAAATCAAGTACAGTTGCCATAGAGGCGAATGTTTTAAAACTAATTAGTCTATGATTAGCCATAAGAGCTACAACAACTAACATGCGCTAATGATGGATTAATTAGGCTTAATAAATTCGTCTCGCAGTTTCCAAGCGAACTATGTAATTAGTTTTTTATTAGATTCAAAAACCAACATACGAAACATAAGATGTGACATCCAAAAATTTTGATTCAACTAAACATGGCCTTATTTATAACATACAAGTTCACTTAAATATAGTTCATCCGAATGGTCTCGATTCAACCTAAATACAACTAAAACCTAATTATAAAGTCCACATAAAGTTCACAAATACAGTTCATCCATCAAAGTATGAATTAAAGTTAGCAAAAGCAGCTAGGAATTAAAAGTTTGCAAATCAACATCTACAATATTGTTTGAATATAGTGCCAACTAACGATCACACTTCCACAAAAGCATAAGAGAGGGATTAATAAGAGATGTCTGCCCAGGGATTACTCCTCGTCTACGGCGGGACAGAAATAGTTCTTGCAATAGCCAAGATAAATTGTACCATCTGCAACAATGGAAATAAATCCCTGAGTACGAGATGGTACTAAGTTAGACTTACCCGTCATAAAGTGACTCCAAGGATTATGTAAGGCTTTATAAGTAGAGCTAGCTTGACAACATTTTGCATAAAAACCACTAATTCAGCTATATATTTTATAATTCGGTCATCAAGTTAATTATAGCTATTCATCTCTAGATTAGCAACTAAGCTGTGTCAAACATGTGGTATATCATTTAGTAGCATAATAATAGTAACCATAGCCGGTATAATAATTTCATGTTCATCATAACCATCATTCCATAATACAGTTACTACGATGTTGGTATTAGCCAAGTTTCTCCACTGTCTGGGAGAGACGATGATTCGAATCGATTTCAACAATCTGAGAATTTATTCCTAACACAAACCTAGCAGACCAGATCAACGGTCACCTTAGGTCACCTTTGGTACAACTCAGGTCCACATTTCGCGGGTTCACTCATCGTCGCACAATCAGGGACAATCAGTTGCCAGGACGTTCAGGCTCAACCTGCCCTAGACTCACGTCTGGCTCCCCACACATCATTACTACCATCAAGAGTGCGTACTTTTACAGAACGGGGCCCGACCTGAGTTGAGATACTTGGCTTCGCGGTCGGAACGAGTTATCCGGCTAGCTAAGTGAGAGACATGCGTTTAATCTTGTCAGAAGCGCCCAACAAGGGTACGGTCCTTAATCGGCATAGATGGATTTACATGAGTCAACCTACACATAGACTCCGTCCGGCCTCCATTTATATTACCCCATGGTTCTTTTCCACGATAGCAAATATAGTCAACCGTGCTTCGATATCCACCTATATCTCGCAGGTGACAAGAAATCATCCTACTTCTACCGGATCTAAGCATGGCTAAGCATGTATTCGATCTTGGACCTACATAGAATTAAAGGTGTATATATCTGGACAAGGTAGTTCTATGCATCAAGTGGTTTCAATTCAACTCTTATCACCTAATACATCAAATATAAAAGGACTCAAGTAAAGTTTTGTAAAACATAAGAGACTTAGAATGCTTTGGGGCTTGTCTTTGAGGAAATAGGTTGGCCTATGGTCTGGGCACTCGGATAAGTTTTAAGAGTTTGCTCCTCTCCTTTAGAGCTACGACCTAAGGTGTCTCTACTATTCCTCCTCTTTTTCTTCTTCATTCAACTTCAAAAGAGTTATTCTCTTAGACGATCCAATATACATGATCATGAAATAAAATATAGTGGATGCATATATAACGCGACATGTATGATATGGTGGGGAATGATGAAATACATTCTCATAGGTGTTTTTAATAGCATTGTATTAAGGTGATAACAAATTATATCTTATTTTACTGAGTAGGTGTATATCTCATCTCTAGTAACTAAACAAATTCTTATCTAAACAATTTTCGGGACTACAAGACAGCAGCCACTTGTTTTGAACCATAATTGGAGTTATACACATCTAAATAATATGGTTGTGGACATTATGAAAAGCTTATGAAATTTTCTACAACTTTATTTTAATCATCTTAATGTGATTCAGCAGTTATCTAGGTCCAACAATTCAATCTTTCAGATCTGTCAGAGAGAGAGCAAGTATTTCTGACAGCAGACTTCTAACGGCTATAATTCTTAAACCATATGGCCTGTGACTATAAAAATTTAATACAAGGTAGATAAGTAAGTTATCTATAACTTTGTTATTAACAAGTTTCATAGAAAAGGTCATTATCATCATAAAATTATTACCACAACAGAAACTACACATGCAATCATCTAAATGAATTATAAAACAATAATTAGCTAGTTGTCTACAACCAATCATTCCTAAGACTATCTAATGACATCAATAGGCTATATGCATCACAAACACCACAGAAAATATCATGGTTAAGCCCAACAAATTTATTTATTTTAATTTATTAATTTCTTTATATACCAAGGTGATTTAAAGCATAAATATTTTCAATGCTCGATAAATTATGAGAAAATTATAGTAGCCTACATATGACCCTAATAATCTACTATATAAATTTCATGACATTTGGATAAGTATAACCATCTCTACTAAAATGACAAAGTTATATAGTCTTATTTTAGCAAAAATAGTTTAGCCTAATGAAAAGTGTTAAGCAACAGATTTAATATTTTTCTTACTTTCCTCCTAGCACAAGAATACTCTTTAAAAATTTGCATGATCATATGTTATGTATCTTTACCCCAATTAATTTCACTAGAAACTAGCAATTAATTAAGATTAAATAGGAAGACCATATTTCAAGTATACTTACTATAGGTTTAATATTTTTTCTAGCTAGAGCATATCAACACAAGACCAGCAAAATTAGAATCATAATTTTATCACCTTTGTGGCTCAAGTTATGTAATTTACAAGATATAAACACATTTACAAGCACTTATCTTGTTTAATTTAATTCTACCATAAAAATAGCCTAAGAAGTAGGTTTCATATTTTTATCAAATAGTACACTTCATGATGAATCTAACAAAATTTAGTTCACCTTATTTGGACACTTCTAGCTCCAGGTATGAATTTTTGAAGTTTGTATTCAAATCTGTGAAAATAATTCAAAAACAACTGTGAATACACCAATAATTCATGGGTCAAAAACAACTAAACAGAGGCAGGGGCCGGCTTTGACCGGCGAGAACTTGCCGACGACGAGGTCACCGGCAACGAGGTCGGCACCAACGTGTTCCCCATCCTATTCCGCATCTATAGGTACCCTAGGTTTGCTCGGAGGATCACTGGAGCTAGCTCACCGGCGAGCATGGCGGCTCGACGGTGGTGCGCGGTGGTGCTCCGGCCATCCCCGGCGATGGCATGGCCAGGCGAGCGCGGCTACGGCATCTACAAACCCTAGCGAAGCTCTACGGCGTGGATTAGGTCAGGGTGGAGCGGCGGCGAAACTTGGCCGCGTGCATGGCGACACGGCGGTGCGCAGTGGCGTTCCGGCGCTGGTGTGCCGACGTTGGCTCAACGGCCTGCTTCGTGACCTAACCCTAACCCTAGACTATCCCTAACAAGCGGAACACGTGAGCGAGATGGCTCGGTGGAGCACGGCCATAGCGAGCGCAAGCTCGGCGGCGCTCCAGCGAGGGTGCGGCGACGGCAGACATGCCCTTAGGCGTTTACCTTGGTTTGGGCTAAGGCGATGGGTGGTCGGCGAGGTGGAGGGGGAAATGGCCGAGCAGTGTGCACGAGCTATCGGGAATGGTGCTGCGACGGTGGCGTGCGAGCTCGGCGGAGCTCGACAACGATGGCACGATCTTGTGGCGGCTTTGCTCATCACGGCGAGAGAGAGGCGAAGTGAGGCGAGGAGGGCCTTGAATGCGGGCAGTGAGTGAGGAGGGCGGGCAGTGGCGTCAAGGCGGCTTTGTTGCCACGTCGGCTCGAAAGCGCGGTGTCACGGCCACCACCTGGCTGTGCTGCTGCGCACGGTCGGACGCCACGCTTCATAGCGTGAAAGGGTCGAGATGGCGGACTAGAGGGGGGTGAATAGTCTTTTCTAAAATTAATCGCGTCGGCTAACCGATATAAATGCGGAATTAAAACAATCGGTCTAGCCAAGACTACACCCCTCTATATATGCTCACTAGCACCTTGCAAAGATACTAATTATGCAACTAAGGTGCCGGGCTAGCTAGAGCTCTCCTAAATAATTCTAGGAGCAAGGTCACACAAACCTATGCCACTAGTACTTTAAGCAACAAGGGAGCTTCTACACATGCTAGTAAGCAAAAGCACAAAGCCAACTAAGCTCAATAACAAGGCAACCAATGCCTAATTAGAGAGCGCAAATACTTAGCTACACAAACTAAGCAATGTGACTAACAAGGTTACTAAAACCAAATTAGCCATGCAAGGGAGCTACTTCTATGCTACACAAGCAAGAAGGTAACTAGTAAGCTACACAAGCTAACTAATTACAAGAGCAACTACACAAGCTTAAGATATATAAAAGTAATTGCAAGCTTGTGTAATGGGGATGCAAACCAACAGGAAGAACAAGGTTGACACGATGATTTTTCTTCCGAGGTTCACGTGTTTGCCAACACGCTAGTCCCCGTTGTGTCGACCGCTCACTTGGTGGTTCGGCGGCTAATTAGCATCACCCGCTAAGACCGCACGTCGGGCACCCCTTGAGTGAGGGTAGCTCAATGACACGCTTTACTAAAGTTGCTCTTCGCGACTCCCGCAGGGCGAGCACAAGTACCCCTCACAAGCACTTCTCCGGAGCGCCGCACAAGCTTCTTGCGGGCTTCGACGGAGACCATCACCAAGCCGTGTAGGAGGTGGCAACCTCCAAGACTAACAAGCACCACCGGCTTGCAACACGACCACCTAGTGCCACTCGATGCAACCTCACGATGCAATCGCACTAGAATCGCTCACTCACACAATCGAATGATCACTATCAAGTATATATGTGATGGAGGGCTCCCAAGCACTCACAAGCATGGACACTAAGTCCCCTTAGGTGCTCAGCACCAGCCATGGTTGAAGGCCACTTCTATTTATAGCCCCAAGGGCTAAACTAGCCGTTACCCCTTCACTGGGCAAAAATCGGGCCGACTGGACGCTCCGGTCGTGTTGACCGGACGCTGGACCTCAGCGTCCGGTCGCCCGCAGACGGCCACGCGTCCTGATTCCAACGGTCACTTGACCTGACCGGACGCAGCAGCTTCAACTGACCGGACGCTGAAGCCCCAGCGTCCGGTCATTTCCAGTAAGCTCCCTTGCTTCAACTGACCTTCGAGGCGTATTTCTTCGACCGGACGCGTCCGGTCCACCTTGACCGGACATAGACCAGCGTCCGGTGCAATACCTTCGGTACTTTGCCGACCGACCAGCTCGACCGAACGCATGCTACCAGTGTCCGGTGCTTTCAGACCCAGCGTCCGGTCAGTTGACTGACACCAGCGTCTTCGCGACCAACTTGTTTTCACTTCTAACTTCTTCACCCTTACTCCAATATGCCAACCACAAGAATTTGCATCCAGCGCAATAGAAAATAGGCATTCCATTTTCCCGAAAGCGCCGAATCCCGCCTCGCAAGCTCGGCGGGAGGGAGAGAGGGACCCAAACCCATCTCAACCCTGCAAACACCACCTCCTTTTGTAAATGTGCCAACACCACCAAGTGTACACCACCAAGTGTACACCACCATGTGTATGTGTGTTAGCTTTTCACAATCATTTCCCAAAGAATGTTAGCCACTCAACTTGCCACGCCACTCGATCCTAGCGACGATGCAAAGTTAGATCACTCGAGTGGCACTAGATGACCGATATGCAAACAAGTTTGCTCCTCTTGATAGTACGGCCATCTATCCTATACCCGGTCATCAACTTCTCTACACACCTATGACCGGTGAAATAAAATGCCCTAGGTTATATCTTTGCCTTGCGCATTCCATTCCATCTCCTCCAATATCGATGCAACACATGCACCAACACTATCAACAATGATATGATCCACTTCATATCATCACGTGATCATATTGGTTCATCGATCTTGACTTCACTTGCCCTTCACCATTGCCATCGTCCATCGGCGCCAAGTCTTGCTCAAGCTTCACCGCCACGCGGTCCATCACTCCAAAGCCTTCGACTTGCCCTTCACGTTTGCAATCGGTCCATCAAGCCAAGTCTTGTCTTGATCTTCTCCACCTTGATCACATGACTCAATGTCATGTCTCATGTGCGTTAAGCTCCTTCATCATCACATGTGTGAGCTTTGCAACATCTCTAAGCCATTTTCACCTTCATGGCATATGTTGCTCACACACATGTACCTATGGACTAATTACCTGTGTATCTCACATAAACACAATTAGTCCACCTAGGTTGTCATTCAATTACCAAAACCAAACAAGGACCTTTCAGCGCGGCGCCGATTCAGACGCCATTGAACCCGACTGACAGCACGACTTCGTGACTCTATAACTCCTAATCTGTGGCGAATTTTCGAAAACTTCCTTAATCAAATTTATAGAGCTAAGTGAGTACTACAAAAATGCTTAAAGGAGTTTGGCCTAATTCCCAGCGGTTTTCAAACTACAAAGCTCCAAAGTAGAATACTTTGAAACTGTAGTAAGCACATGACTTAGCAAGATTTTCTAAGTTTCAAAACAACATTTTGTTGATTTTTGTGAGCCCTATTTGGCTAAGTTAGACACTGATTCAGCTCATGACCCTTAAATAAAGTTTGTTACCCTTGATGTGAGATACAACTTTTATTTAGGTCACACAGCCATGCAAACACTTTAAGGTACTGTTCAACTTTGGTCAAACTAGCATCATGAAAATGATATTTTAAAGTACACCAACACTTAGAAGCAAAATTGGTCCATGTCATGAATACAAAAGTTGTTTCATTCACCATTCTAGATGTGTCTAAGGTATATTGGTGCCCTTACAACCATTTCATACATTGGTCATACATGATTGCAAGCATAAGCATATATATAAAATCAACATTTCATGTGATAAGGTATAAGAATGTGATAAGGTATATTGGCGCCAAGTTCATGAATGCTTGATGATGCTTGTGCTCATGAAATGTAGGTGCCAAATACAAAGCTTTAACACTGGGGTGTTACATAGCCTTTGCAATTGCAAGATGTTCCGTGAACCTGGTGGTCATGGTCACCGACGAATACGTGAACTCAACAGTCGTTTGACTGTTGGTTTGAGTGCACCACCTTCATGAATGTGACGTTCTCTCTTTGTTATTTTTCCCTTTTTCCCTCTGAAGAGGTTCTTTGCGATCGGAGGATGGGGACCTGTACCTGCGGTGGAAGGCGGTGAGCAAGAAGCTGAAGAAGAGGCAGAAGTGCGTCGTCGTCCCCATCGGCGTCCTCTCCATAGGCTTCTGCCGGCACCGAGCCATTCTTTTCAAGGTAGTACTAGTTACCACGGTCAGAGACCCAGCACCGGCCATGGTGCAATGCAACTTGTTATAGTATGTTTTAAGCTAGAGTGCCATCTTTCTTCTCCGAAAACATTCAGGTACTCGCAGATTTCATCGGCCTGCCATGCCGGATCGCGCAAGGTTGCAAGTACTGCTCTGCGCCTCACCGATCATCTTGCCTTGTCAAAGTCGACAGTGAGAGGAGATATGTAAGGTCTGTGCTCGTTCATGTTCCTTTCCCTCTCTTCTGCAGATATATTGTAGAATAGCAGAGCTTTAGACAATCAATACTGCTCTTTTAATTTGTAGCTTCACCTCTTGTGAAGTTTGAGCATTTCAATGCCTTCATATAATCTGACGTTGGTGCATGCCGATGCACACTGAACTTTTTGCAGCTGCCACACTTTTTTTTTTGTCACACATCGCCTCAATCTGTCTAGTAATCCTGCTTGTGGTTTCAGGGAATATGTCGTGGACCTTGTAGTTGAGCCAGGAAGCATCAGCAGCCCAGATTCATCCATCAACGGCCAGCTGCTGTCCACCGTGCCTTCACCTTTCAAGACTTCGTGTGCAGTTGGCTCGGAGAACTACACCACGCCAGTTGCAGCCTGGAATCAAGCAATAGCAGATGAACGTCGCACCATGGTATTGTCAAATTCCCAGTATTCAGGTACGCTACCTACTATTGCGCAACTCACCATATCTAGGTAATTCAACCGTACTGTTGCCCAAAATAGTCCAATACTGTGCTACTTGTAGTTGCTAGATGCCGCATTGTGGAGAACAACTCTGTTCAGGTAGCCAGCAAAGAAGACCTGCTGCCAAAGTGTGGGCAGATCACACAGAATGGAAACTGCAATGGTGTATCCATGTTACAAGTGTCAGGGCAATTGAAGGCAATGGACATCGGTGCTGAGAATGGCAACACGGAGAACGTCCCTGGTGCTAATCTTCCGAAACCCTGGAGCATTGAGCCGCCTTTTGCTGTAGACTGGCTGGAGATATCATGGGAGGAGCTTGACCTCAAGGAACGCGTAGGCGCCGGTACTCCTTTGTCTCCAGGATTTCAACTAATTTACTGTGTGCTCTGAATCTGATCGTTGTTCTTTTTTTGCAAATAGAATCTGATCATTGTTGGGGTACAATGCAGGTTCTTTCGGCACTGTTTATCGTGCAGACTGGCATGGTTCAGTAAGCACCTCAAACTTGCATTCTGAAACCCGTTTTATATGTACTTTTGTGGTGAGTTGTCCTTTGGAGACCATAAATTAAAGATTGTAGATTGGGGTCTGCAGGATGTTGCAGTAAAGGTGCTTACAGATCAGGATGTCGGCGAAGCTCAGCTGAAGGAATTCCTAAGAGAGGTCACTTTACCACCCTAGTTTTAAGTTCTCCTGTCTAACTAGCAATCATAACCTGAACATATGCGCATGGTTTCCAGATTGCTATTATGAAACGAGTCCGCCATCCGAATGTGGTATTGTTCATGGGTGCGGTGACAAAATGCAAACATTTGTCAATAGTGACAGAGTATTTGCCCAGGTAAAATTTTCATCAATTTCGGCTGTCGGACTTGTTACTGATATTTGGTTATCATTGAGAAAATAAGAACCCTGCTGGTGTAAACAGAGGGAGCCTCTTCCGCCTCATCAACAAGGCAGCTAATGGAGAAATGCTGGATCTAAAGCGTCGTTTGCGCATGGCACTAGACGTTGTATGTATCATATTGTGTTCCACATGTGAGAAACTCCTGAAATGTCACTGATATCTCTACCTGTTGTATGTACAATGCAGGCAAAAGGCATCAACTATCTCCACTGCTTGAATCCTCCTATTGTGCATTGGGATCTCAAGACACCAAACATGCTGGTTGACCGGAACTGGTCTGTGAAGGTTAGTCCACCTCCCAGATAGCATAGCATGGTCCTGATCCACTGTTCTACTTTTGTTTCTTTACTTTTCTTCTTGATATGACTTCAGGTAGGTGACTTTGGCTTGTCCAGATTTAAAGCAAACACCTTCATATCATCCAAATCAGTTGTTGGAACAGTAAGTTTCGTAGTTTTGTCCCCAAACAGCAATCTGGCACTGAATTTATTGTTTTCTTACCACCCAAGTACTCTTGTGCTGCAGCCAGAATGGATGGCGCCCGAATTTCTCCGTGGCGAGCCATCCAACGAGAAGTGCGATGTTTACAGCTTCGGCGTGATCTTGTGGGAGCTCCTGACAATGCAGCAACCATGGAGTGGCCTAGGCCCTGCGCAGGTAACCTTCCATCTCTTAATCCCGATGTCCTGCTGATGTGGAAAATAGTGGTCGTTTCTGATTTGGTAAGGTCACATCTGCAGGTAGTAGGAGCTGTAGCATTTCAGAACAGAAGGCTTCCAATTCCGAAAGATACCGACCCAGAACTTGCTGCTCTTGTTGAATCCTGCTGGGATGAGTAAGCCTTTCCAACAGCCAGAAGTTATTATAATCAAAATAGACCAAATTTGTGCATGACAGTATGCTCTTTTCAGGGAAAAGAACTTTATCACTGATGCTATCTTTGCTTTCAATATTGTTCAGCGATCCAAGGCAGCGGCCTTCGCTTTCGAGCATTGTGGATACGCTGAAGAAGTTACTGAAGGCGCTTCTTGGAGGTTCATGAGGACTCTTGCTGGCTGTCTTGGCTGGGCCTTTGCCACTCCATTTTTCTCTCGTTTTCTCATTCCTTTTCTGTCTCTGTCCACGCTAAACTACAGAGAGGAATAAGGCTGTTGCCTTGAGGAAGGAGAGGAGGTAGCTGAAGCAGCACAAGTGCAATGCTGCCTCGAGTTCATTAGGTCACTTGTCTTTTTATCCTCATGCAGACCCCGTTCGCTTCGCTAAAAAAACAAGCCGAAACACTGTTCCGGCTGATTTGTTGTGAGAGAAAAACATTGTTCCGGCTGAAAAAACAAGCTAAAAAAGACAGATTATAAGAGAATCGATGCGTTTTGCTCTCCCATGCTGCCCTGGGGCAGCCTTTGTACAGCGATTCCTAGTGCTAACAGAAGTTGCTCACTTGCTCTGGCCTCTGGGGTAGTTGGGTGGTCTGAATATCTGCTATCCTTGAATGTTCTAACTGGTTCTATTGGTTGTGCACTAGGACTGAAGATATGTGCTCTAGGAGAAAGGAAAGACAGTTTTGATGCCAAATTAGAATAGCCCACAGGATATAGGTATAGAGTTTCTATATTCTATACAGGTCTCGAACAGAACTTCTCAGGAGACATCTGAGTGGAGCTTATGCGTTCATTTTTTTTTCTTTGGGCGTTGTCATTTGGCAAGCAGACATGAATAGTTCTGACACTGCGAAGCATTTGTAAGCGGCAATTTCATCGATTCATCACCTCAAGTCAAAGAGAACATCAACAAAGATTCAGCTAACCGTAAACCATTTGAAGTTGATTGTTGCATTTCGGTTATCTGCACCTGGAGTCCACCTGAAGATCCTGCACATAGTTGCAGAGTTCAATACTTCAATTGATCGGATTTAACGTGGGGAAAGTACAAAATTAACAGAGCGCACCGAAGAAGAAAAAAGACAAGTAGTTGATGAAATGAAATGCATGGCACGTGACAGAAAAAAGAAGTAAAAGGTGGTGGAGCGAGCCACCCTCCGCGTACAAGCCGTCCGGATTTACGATCGTGACCGTCACACCGGATAGCCAGCAGTGAGCCGAAGATGTCGGATCCAGTTTCTGCGATGCTCTGCGCCCCGCCGAGCCAGCACCTTTGCCCCCAAGCTTGGGATGACGTGGGCCACCGCTAGGAGGCCCGGCGAGGAGTTGCTGGCCGAGCACGTCGTTAAGCTGGTCGCGTCCAGCGAAATGCTCCGGGTACTAAACCAAACTGCGGCGATTGAAGGGCTTTGTGCTTGTGCAGGCGAGAAACGCGCACGGAGTCGGAGTCGAGACGGTGCAAGCAGCTGTCGTCACGCGCAACGGTCCGCGCGCCGCCTTCGATCGGATCCGGCGGTGGTTCCGCTTCCGCTTCCGCTCGTGCTGTACACGTGTTACGCGGAGTCGTCGTGCGTGCGCCGTACGCGAAGACATACGCTCGTCGTCCGGCGCTCGGTGCGAGGGCTGTAGCCGGCCGCCAGGCCGCGTCCTATGAGCTGGCTGGTTCCTGATGTGAAAATGGACCGAGAAAATTCTTGATGCCCTTTCAGAGTCAGAGAAGATTATCCCTGCCATGCAAAACGAGTGTTGCTGCTCAGAACCAGTAACCCGTTGTGTCAACAATCTATTCAGTGGCCATTTTAATTACTTATTAATTGACACCTTAATCAATGGCCATGTAAACCGTACTAGTTTTTTGGGTTGGGAGTGGCCTAAGCACATATGTGCAAATGGTAAAACCCACCACTGCCGTTCTGAACTACATGACACCTTAAGGATGTAGTTCTGAAGTACGTACCGTTCTTGTATCAGAAGAATATATTCTCTATCACAAGGGAAGGTACAAACTTACCCCAAAATTGGCAACCCACCACTGTTGTTAGTCGTTACAAGGTCAGAAGCATGATGCACAGAGAAATGTGTGCTGCTTCACAGGCGCTTCCGCCGCGCCGACCGAGCTCCTGCCAGTCATTCGAGCCGAGGCCGGGTGCTGGATTCAAGCAGGCGCTACAGGTTTGGCAAGCTTGGCAGCAGCGACCCCAGCGTAGCGCAAGCACATAGACCAGGAACGTTCGTTGTCCAAAAAAAGTATGTAACCATCATTCAGTTTAGCGCCGTGCCCGCGATGACCACTTGTAACGTAAAACTCCTTTCTTCTTAATGCAAATGATATATAATGCTCTTGCGTAATCGAGAGAGAAAAAGGAGCATGATGCACAGATGCTATCGAACTAAACGCTACACATATCAATAAAACAAGCTTGGAGGCTAAAGCAGTTGGATGTATTAGCAGTGCTACACAGCCACACAGGGCAAAGGCTGTATGTTGTACAAGAAAGAAAGAAAAAACGCTACGCCAGCTACGGTAAGCCAGACACCAAACGTCAAACACCATACCAAATCCAACAAGGAGAATTCGCAGTAATATAACTGATTCACCAGCAAAATGAAAAATAATGGAGGTGCGGGGAATCGAACCCCGTGCCTCTCGCATGCGAAGCGAGCGCTCTACCATATGAGCTACACCCCCTTCGATGCACTTTGTACATTTATATGCTTCTAGTCTATTGAGAAACGGTTTCAGAATCCTAAAGTTTCTGCCTCTGTTTATAGCGTGAGAACTGTCTACCGAAAACAGTGTGATCCCCAAAGCTAGACTTGTTTGCCCGTGAAACGCACGCGGACCGGCAGACAGCAGCACACGACCGGTACAGGCAGGACGTGTGCGTAATGAACTTAGCTGTGTCCGGCGGTACAGTCTACGAGTACGACCTACGACCACTACGATTGAATAATTGTGGCGCGCATGCAAGTGGTTGCCGATATCCCATCCTCAACGGCTCGCATAGCTTAGCTGCACTCTCCCAACCACTTGCTGTTACACAGGGGCTGTTATCCTGTCTTCTTTCTTGCTCTAGCTAGTTACGGGGTGTTTGGTTGGCAGAGCAATTGTGATCCATCACTGTCTTATTCTCAGTTTTTTGAAGCTTGTGGAATAGAATAAGTTAATTCATGACCATCTCATTCCTCACGAGCTAATAGTTATTACTATTATGAGAAATAAGGTAATTCAACTAAATTTAAGAAATTGACTCATGATGCATCATTTCATCTAAGATAAATTGATTCCTCGAACCAACACACCATTAGTTTCCATATATTCCAGAGCCGACAACAGGATGTCGATCGTGTGTGACGGACGAGCTAGTCATGTTGGCGGGACTTTTTTTTTGCTAGAAATTGAGCACAGCGTGCACGCTGTTAAACGCCATATGGGCCTGTAATGATCTGAGATGTTTGCGCTGGGTTTAGATGGTGTATGTGGCGTTGAACGCTTTTCGTTGCGGGCTAACGCGGTTCGTTTAGTTTGTTTTTCTATTGTTACAAACTCTTGTAATTTCGTTGTTGTCGAGTAATGAAATTCGGCTTTGCCTTGGTGGAAAAACCATATATTCTGGCCGTCAGAGTTTTAGGATTGGCATGGAACAAACACGGTGCTCGTTTTGCAGGTTGTTTGCCAAGCACAGACGGATCGACTGTTGACGACCTATAATACTTGGTAATTTTAAGTTTTAACCTAGCCTGTGAACAAAACTGAACGTTGGTGGGCACAGGTGATCAACCATACCATAGCTCCAGAAGGTGAGTGCGTTTGACTTTTCAAAAAGTGAGAACGATAGTTAAAAAGGGGCGGAGGGGGTAGATGAGAAGTAGATAATTCATTAGAAGCATGCAGAAGTGCAATTGTTGTCTTTTTATGATAACAACAATATATAGGGGTTTCCTTTATGCCGGTTTTCACTATCACGGAGGTGGACGGTTAAGATGCAAAATTATGATCTACTTTACATTAGTTTTTGCAATGGCGCGAGTGATTAATTTTATATTAAGATTATTTTATGTTATTTTTTAAATGATGACATGTATGATAATAGTTCAATATAGATTTATGACGTAGTTCAGTCTATTTTCATAAATTCATAAAGGCAATGTAACAAACATTTTAAGCGAATTGAGTATAAGTTTCTTGTGGTAGAACCTGCCACCTGTGTTATGAGTTCTCGACTTGACACTTGACACAACTGCACAAGCGCACACATTTTCCTATAGTCTAGATAGTGACTAGAGTATACCGAGCTAATAATATTTTTTATATTTTTATTTCTATGAGAATCTCTGCATTGTAACCATTTCCCCCTCGCATATTCTTGTAGAATCGGCGTGAAGTCATTTCAGTCTGTAATTAGTAACAGTACGTAGATTGTAGATAAGATGGTAGGCTAGTGGCCAATTAAACGATGAGGAGGATATAAAGACGTACGTACGTGCAGTTTGATGATCTGATCGGTGGCGGTCAGCTTCCAAACTTCCAACCCCCGTCCGCTCGACGTTCGTCCTGTCCTTTTGTGCCGTTGTGCGTGGCCGTGCGTGGTTCATGCGCCTCTCCGTCTCCGCCTCCGCCTCCGCCTCCGCGCTCCGATCCGGTGGTCCTACTTGCTGATGACCAGCTGGCAACTGACGATGCCGATACGGATTGAATCGTTTGCCGGGCCCTCTTGCGGTCTGTGGATCGTAGCACTAGCTAGAAGCAGTTGCCAAGCTGTACGTCTTGGATGGAGTAGATCGCAGTTCGCAGGCACTACTAATGAGCTGATGTACTACTTGCTCTAATTTGCACTCTCGTAATGTATTATGTATAGCCATCTCGATTGGAAGGGGAAAAAAAGGATAATCATGCATGTTTTCTGAATCTCTTGTTCCTCAGTTTGCTACTCGGTAACCGTGATCTGATTGCGTAGATCGATCATCGATCGATCGATCGCTGGATATGTAGTATAGCAAATTCTTGAGGGGATGGATGGTGAACCACCCCTGCGGACTACAGAGTCCACATACTGTATGCGTTAACGATAACAACCCTGTTCGTTTCTCTTATAATCCATCTTTTTCAACTTGCCAGTATTTTCTCTCACAACAAATTAGACGGAAAATTGTTTCAACTTGTTTTTTCAGCGAAACGAACAGAGCCGTGTCACCTGATCGTGCTTGTCCATTACGTACAATTTACACGAGCAGTCCGCGGGTGAAATCAAAGCGGGCAGTCGGCCATTCGGCCTTAAAGTTCACAGCGCGCGAACAGAGGTAGATCTATCCTGTGTACGTAGGTTCGTCCAGGTCCAAAGTCCATGTCCATCTACCCGCTTTTATTTATTATTGAGGGCAGAGAGCAGGATGATCGAATCGATTGGCAAGCAAGGCCTACCTGTAGATCGACCGTCGCTGTATCTGTATGCGATTGCGATCATCCATCGTGATCGTGCAGCCAGGAGGGGGAGCAGCACCTCATCATTCCAGAACCAGAGTATGCTCCTCCCATCGATCGAGTGGCGTATGCATGCACCAGCTTTTCTGCCCTAGTTATGGCGGACCCTCTGCCAGGGCGTTCTTTAGTTCCGGTAGATGGCATGGCGGTGTGTTGGCTCACACGTGACGAAGCCAACAGGTCGGTCAGGTGGCGGCCGGCAGTTTTAATTAATTTCTGTA